TTGTCCTTATCGTTAAAACTCAAAGTTTTCAAGTCATTTTCATTAGTTTTCCTTTTATTTTATTGGTTTTAAATAAATATGTCTTTTGCATTGAATCCGGATCCTCTTTGTGAGGATCCCGGGGATCTGTCAATCTTGTCCGTTCATCGTACTTCATGCAATCAGAAATTATTTTAAATATTTATATTTAAAATTAAACACAAACAGTATTTGGCAAAAGTTGACAGCACGATATACGATGAATGAACACGATTCATGGATCCCCAGGATCCTCACCAACTAGATCCTGTTAGTTTTGCATTGATGAGAATTACCCAAGAGGATCCTTGCCGGATCCTCTTTGTGAGGATTTTAAGAATCCTTCAATCACATATGTTCATCATACATCGTACGGTCATAAACCATTATAATTTTTTTTTATTTAAAATTGCATATAAACAGTATCTGACAAAAAATAACCGCATGATATACAATGAACGGATGTGAATGTACCGAAGCTAAAGTAAATCAACAAACAATGGACAACATTAATACCTCGACGACTGCAGAGTGATCTCGACGACTGTTGCTCCTAATGTCCCAAATCCTTGCATTTTCTGTTACTCTTTTCTTAAACACCTCGTATTTCTCCTGCAATCAAATCTTCGCCATAAGCTTTGTTGCTGAGAAATATCATTGATAATTATATCTATAAACATGAGGAATTTGTTTTGAGAAATAACAAAAAAAAAAGTCATCATGCACTCATTCCGGCTATTGTTCTTTTTGTCATTTTAACTGACCATTTTATGTATCTTCTAAAAACTAATGATCCTCCCTCTATTAAAAAATTGGTACATAAGATATGCTCAATTGAATACTAAAATTAACTATCATTCAGAATACTAAAATTGCGTATGTTCTCTCACGTTCAACTAGTGAGAAAATGTAAGAGGAAATTTTGGTGTTGATTGACACCATTGTTCTAAAAATCCCTGCATAGGCACTATAACAGCTGACCATTACTCTGATTAGCCTTTAGGTGTTTGAAAATTAAGAAAATGCACCTAGATTTGCTTAGGCATCCGTCTAGCCCGCGACTTTGACTTAGATAGGAAATTGATGGCTTTAATTTTGCATTTTAGTTTTTCAGTAAAATGTAAAAGACTTGTTGAATACTTGGATAAAAACTTATTATATATACTTGTTTCCTATGTTTTCAATATATTTTAATACTTTATCATTTATAAATCATTTTATTTTATAATTTATGCATCTTGCCTAAGCCTCCACCTAGCCGCCTAGGTGCTAAACCTCAATCCGTTACCCGACAAAACGCCTAAACCCCAATCTGCGACCTGACAAAACGCCCAATCCGCCACACAAATACGTACAAAAAAAATTAAGGGAATTATAATTAACCTTCATATGCTTTTTCTCTTGTACGAACTCACTGCCCCCAAAACCACCATCCTCATCGCCATCATTCTCTCCTGCAGAGAAATAAGCCCCCGGAGCCGTACACTTGATTCCATACCTCTTACAAAACGGAAGCCACCATTTTGCAAACCTCCAAGCCTCTCTCATCCCATTCAAAGTCACGGCAGCACCGGCGTCATCAGAGAGATACACGTGAAGCTTTTCCGGTGGATAGTCCATTGCCATGGCAGATAACACCGTGTTCATCACCACCACGGTTGGCTCCTTCTCCGGATCCGCGGTGCAAATAAACACATCAATCGGCGGAAGCTTGTCATCCTCCGGAAGCCTCTCTGGGAACACGGTTCGCGAAACTGCGCACCATCGGAATGATTGGCTGAGGAGCCATTCGAAGGCAAGGATGACTTCCGAGGCAAAGACAAGAAGCCACGGTAGGGTTGCGGCTTTGGTTTTGGGGTGTTGGAAGAAGAAAGAGGCCCTATAGGAAAATAAGAAGACTAGAGCAACCGAGTGGACGAGGATATGTGTCCGGTTGATGAAGTTTGAAAGCTTGTGGACGTGGCAGAGATGGAGAGGGAGCTTAGAATTCTCCATAGCTTCTTCTGTGGCAATTATATGTGTTCTTGCACTCAGGCATCAACAAGCAACATCCTCCACCTCCTTTTAAAGGACAATAACACTGTTTAATTATCGTTATTAAAAATAATAATAATAATGTCTACTAAATGATGAAATCATAAAACTGATCGTCAATGTAGAGATTAGACAAATTGTTCACACATCACCAACTCTCAACACTATTTAAGTTAATAAAATTACTGGAAAACAGCTATATTTTTAATTTTTAATTTTTTTACTTTTGGATATAACTGAGTATTCAATGAGATCGATTGATATGCCTGAATTATCTATGTTTTATTTTTATTTTATTTTTTACGAAATAAGAGCGTTTTTTGTTTTTCTTGATCAGCACGGAGGTTGACTTGTATGACTTAATATTAATGTAATGGGTTACTTTATATACATTGACAATATACATCTTTGCTGCCAACTATATTCACACATATATACCATACCTAAATATCATCATATAATAATAACAATTTTGACCATACGTTTATACAATATATATATATATATATATATAGAGAGAGAGAGAGAGAGAGAGAGAGTATTCCACCAACTTTTGCTGATGAAAATCCTTTGTTCTAGGATTTTTTTGAATTTTTTTTTTGCTCCACAATATAAATACACCATATTTTTTATACAATATATATGGAGTATTCCACGAATTTTGATATGAATTTGTACCTCAATATTGATTTTTCCTCTGGATTATTACAAATAGACAATTTCTTGAATGAATAATTTTCACTTCCATACGTAAGATATATACTTCCTATTGTCAGAAGACAAAATAACAAAACATTGCCGATATTAATTTTGATGATATAAAAAATATATATAAAATTAACATCTTGAACTTGATTAAAAGTTCATTTGGTTGCTTTTAAATAATTTAAAGCACATATCAAGTTCTGGTTCTAATTAAGTTGTAAGTTCTAACAAATATTGTCGATTAAAAGCCCTTATGTAGATAAGGGTTTCGACAAAAATATACAAAACGGCTCTAACAATAGAGTAAAATAATTTAAACATGTGAAACCCTAATCAAACTCTAATCCACGGCTCTATAGCTAATCACCTTCTAATTATGATAAATTAGTAATTCCTTATGTCTGACTTTTCTCTTTTGTTTAATTCAAAGGACTTGTCATATATGAAATAGTATTAATCGAGCTTACGTTTCAAATTTCGCCAAGTACCGAAATTGTATTTGCAACCACGACTTCCTGGCTGCAATCTTGAGTCCCAAGTATCAAAGATTCAAATCCACAGCCATCAGAGAAAGAGGATGGAACCTTCTTCTTTTCCGTTTCGGAGGCTCTGTTTGGTTGATGTTTTGGTGGGTTCAAGGTCGACGGATCTGACGGCTTCTATGTTGTTAGGGTTTTTTGTTTCTGTATTTTTGTTTTGGGCTCAACCTTTGGGTTGGGTTTTGATTTCCATCCACCTAGTCGGCAGCATACAGAGGCTTGGACTAGGCAAATACCACTTTTCCTTGGACCAAATAAAAAAATTCTTGGAGCAGGACGTAAAATAAAAACTTGATTCACTTAAAGGAGTTTTGCTCCAATAGTACCTGTATCACTCAGTTATATAAGTTTTCTTTTATGTAAAATTTAACTGTTATAAAGATTTTGTGAACACGGAAAATTCCCGAAATTTCGATGTCTACAGATTTATTAGATCTTTATTTTATATACAAAGATTAACAATTGATTTTCATAATTGTGGGAAAAGAAAATGTTCTCTCTTTATTGAGAAAGAATTCACATTGATGAGAGAAATGACTTTACATGTGCTTATAAGTGGTTCGTCTATTTTCTCGGTTCGGAGTTTGGCTTTCTCTGAGGATGTGACGGCGGCGGCGGTGTGGTCTTTGCTAGCTGGTGTTGGCCTCCCGTTGTGTCTTGGGTTGCCGCTCTCATTTTGCTTGGGCCATTTACTTTCTATGTAGTTGTCTACCCGGTTGTTTTTTAGCCTTGTACTAGTTTTTTTATTTAATGAAAGTTATCTTTGTGATAAATAAATAAAAAAAAGCATTGCAAATAAACAAGGGAGTTAGTGACAAATGGCAGCTTGTGGTAGCTGGCAATTAGGTATCACGCATAAGTCCTTTCGGCTTAAGGTTTGGGTATGTCTGGCGTCGGTGGTGAGAGTAACCAATTTTCAAATAAAGTTTTATTTACCAAAAAAAATAAAATTATCATCCAGTGCTCTTTAATGAATAAAATAAAAGGAGGTTTAATGAAAATCGTTTGGAATAAGTCTATTTCAACAAAAAAAAAATCTATAATTTTATTTATAAAAAGAGCTTAAATTTTAATGAAAATGACAAAAGTTTAATATAATAAAAAATAAAATGGAAAGAGTAATAAAAAACTGATGCACACTATTTCTGAAACTGAACGGTACTATATTATTTTTTAAACTAAACAGTACTACATTATTTCTATAGCTGAACAATACTACACTGTTACTAAAATTGAACACTATTTCTGAAAACTGAAAACTAATTATTTCTTAAACTAAACACGAGTACTACATTATTTCTGAAATTAATTGAACATATTATTTATTAAACTAAACACAAGTACTACATTATTTTTGAAATTGAACATGAGTATAACTCTGGTTTAACCAATTGACCATATAGCTGCATTTGCACTCCAGAGATAATTGAATTGACCCAAAAATCTTTCAGCAAAACAATGGGACTAAATTGTTCTTTAAAATGTTACTTTTGCATATGAGGCTTTACAAAAGGTTAACTGGGTAAGTTGATTGACTGCATCTAGTTCTACTGCTAGCTCATAGCTGTGTCCAAACGCCAGTTCTGGCCACATCCAACCCATACCCCAAACTCTTTACTGCAGTTTTTACAAGGCTTGGATAGGAGCCTCATAGCTCGACAGACACGTGTCGAGTTCCCAATGGCTCTTTCTTGTCCTTGTTGTCATGAATTATCCATCTTCCTAGCTAGAAGCACAAGAAAAAACCTGGAGCAGAGGAACCTCCCAAACTCTTCACAATTTGAGTAGCTGAAATATATTGCCCATCTCTCTATGGCCTTGGCCATTGCCTCTTCTGCAATTTCAAGCATTATTCCAACCAGGTAATTACAATAATTTCGTAATTAATCACTCCCTTAATAACCATTAATCTTGTTATTAATATCCAAGCAGTAAGCTTATGGATGGAATTATTTTTTACAGGGAAGTGCCTTGGAAATTTTCCTCTGGAAAAGTAGTCACAACATGCTTGCTGGGAAGAACAACCGCAGCCACCCGTTTACATGCAACAAAAGGAGGAGTCTCAAGTGTATGTGAACCACTTCCTCCAGATAGGCCATTGTGGTTCCCTGGCAGCTCACCTCCTGAATGGCTTGATGGCAGGTTTAAATTAATTTTAACTAAATCTAATTAATTAATTTATTTATTTATGCTTTCACTCTGACTTCTTTGGTGAAACCGTAGCCTTCCTGGTGATTTTGGCTTTGACCCCCTTGGATTAGGTGAGAATTTGTTACTTTTAGAACAATTTTACGGTCTGGTCGGCTATCTTTTGAACACGTACTCAATACAAACATTTGAAAATTTCATTGTCAAGACCCCTTAGGTGGTGTATTTACTAGATTATCTGATTTGTAGGTGTTCATACTTAATACGTGTTTGCACCCTAAAAATTTTTGTGAAAAGTTTATATAATTTGTACACTTCTATGAACATGGTCTTAAGTTTTTAATTTCCACAGAACATATAAACCCCAATTTGATAATATTTGCAGGGTCTGATCCAGAATTACTAAAATGGAATGCACAAGCTGAGCTGATGCATGGCAGATGGGCAATGCTGGCAGTGGCTGGAATTCTAATTCCAGAGTGGCTTGAAAGATTAGGCTTCATAGAGAACTTCTCATGGTTTGAGGCTGGTGAGAGAGAGTACTTTGCAGACCCAACAACCTTGTTTGTGGTACAATTAGCATTAATGGGGTGGGTTGAGGGAAGGAGATGGGCTGACATAATTAACCCTGGAAGTGTTGACATTGAGCCTAAGTTTCCCAACAAAAAGAACCCTAAACCAGATGTAGGGTACCCCGGTGGGCTCTGGTTTGATCCCATGATGTGGGGAAGAGGGTCTCCTGAGCCTGTCATGGTTTTGAGAACAAAGGAGATTAAAAACGGGCGTCTTGCGATGCTCGCTTTCGTAGGGTTCTTGTTTCAAGCCCTTTATACAGGGAAAGATCCCATTGACAATTTGATGGCTCATATTGCAGATCCTGGCCACTGCAACGTATTTTCGGTAACGTGATAAAACTTCATTACCTGCTCTCAGTTCTGCTAAGAAACATATTTTTCAGGACTTTGGTTTTCGGTGTAATGCCCTTTGTTGTGTTGATAAATTGTTGCCAACAATTCATGTGTGCAGGCTTTCACTTCTCAGTATTGAAGCTGATGAGGACTTTTTGAGGCTTGCAAACACACCAAACTGCCTGGAATTAAGTGCCTCTGTGCGTTACGCAATACTCTCTTCATGTTATAAAAATCAAATATATATTTTACATATCAAATATATATTTTTTTAAAGTTTTTATGTTACAATTACTAGTTCCTTTAGAGATTGAATTCATCGTTTTGCCATTTCTGATCTTAAAATGAAAGTTTCTTGAAAAAGCATACTAGATACACAATCGCATGGTATAACCAGTATCACGCATATCATAACATGTGTATAATTAGTTATTAATATTATACCAACTATATAAACTCGTCGTTCGCCTATATTACAGCATGTGAATCAGTTACTTCCCGTGACATTCTATTGCAGATAGCATGAGTATTTGGTGATCAAGAACTCTAGATGAAAAATCTAGTTTCTCCTACTGGCTGCCTAGTATTATTTACACAACACATATTGACTTGTGATGAATCATGAAAGTGTGGCAGCTAGAAAAAAAAACAACACAAACATGGTGTCTCCCTCTACCAACTCTACCCAACTTTAACGAATGAATGAAAATAACGTTTGTTTTTGTACGTAATTTTTGGAATTGGGAGTCCTAAAATGTAGGGCATCCAGTGGCTGACAAGGTCAATGCAAGTTTCACAACCTCCACAACCTCTCTCTCTCTTCCCCCCTCTCAAATCCCCCACAAGAGGCAAATACAGCTCTCTCTCTTCTGTCCCCAACCTCTATTCTTAGATTTTGTCTTGTAAAATCTGGTAATCTCCATTCCCCCAATACACCTAAACATGTCACACCCAACTCCTCCTCCTCCTCCTCCTTCCCCTCCTCCCCCATACACCCTACATTGATGATCACAAACACACCAAACCCTCAGACAACAAAACCACCCCATATCGAACAGCGGCTCATTTTCTATCCGGTGGAGACGACACCACATTGTCCCCCTTCCGGCCCTGCAAATGGCCGCTGTTCCCTCGTTCCTCTTCCTCCTCATCTTCCTCTCTTCCTCCCCTCACCTCTCCCTCTCCTTGTCACAAGAACAAGATGCTCTCTTGAAGCTCAAGAGATCTCTCTCTCCAGCAGATAATCCGTTGGACAACTGGGACCCAAACACCTCCCCATGTAACGACAAATGGGCTGGGATTGTCTGCAACGAAGATGTCATCACCGGTCTCCATTTCGCCAACATGGGTCTCTCCGGAAATTTTGACGTTGATGCATTAAAAGACATTCCTACCCTCAGAACCATTAATCTCATGAACAACAAATTCTCAGGTCCAATTCCAGATTTCCACAAGCTTGGTGTCTTGAAATCCTTGTTTTTGGCGGGAAACGACTTCTCCGGCGAAATCCCAAAAGACTACTTTTCCCATTTGACGTCGTTGAAGAAAATTTACCTTAACGGTAACAATTTCACAGGAAAAATCCCAGAGTCATTGACCCAATTGACCAAGCTAGAAGAACTTCATTTGGAGAGCAACCAATTCACAGGCCCTATACCAAAATTAAAGCCAGGAGTATTGAACTCCCTTGACTTTTCAAACAACAAGTTACAAGGTCCTATCCCGGAAACCCTGTCGAAATTTGACCCCAAGGCGTTCGATGGAAACGAAGGACTATGTGGCGGGCCACTCAAGTCATCATGCAAGCCGCCTCCAACACCGTCATCTCCTCCGCCAAAATCCCCATCAAAGTCTCCGCCAGAATCCCCATCAACATCGCCGCCCTCAACTCCAAAGAAGAAAGAGGAAGATAGAAAATCAAAAACCATCATCATAGTCATCAGCGTCATTGTCGGTATCATGGTTCTGCTCCTGCTTTTCGTGCTGCTCACGAAGAAGAGGCGAAAACGGGAGGACAACTTCAACGTGCTCGGCAAGGAACAGATCGTGGATGACCATCGTAATGTACAGGAGAAGGTGGTTGAAGTTCATATTCCAAGCACCACAAATCGCAGCGTGGGAAGTACAAATGAGTCGAATCGTAGCGTGGAGGTCAACCAAAGCAATAGCAGAAAAGGTAGCGGGGACTCGAAAAAGGGGTCGAGTCAGGGGAAAAACAGCATGAACGAGCTTTTGATGGTGAACGAGGAAAAGGGTACATTTGGATTGCCGGATTTGATGAAGGCGGCAGCAGAGGTTTTGGGGAATGGAGGGTTGGGATCAGCTTATAAGGCGGTGATGTCTAATGGGTTTTCTGTTGTGGTGAAGAGGATGAGGGAGATGAATAGGTTGGGGAGAGATGGGTTTGATGCTGAAATGAGAAGGTTTGGAAGATTAAGCCACAAGAACATCTTGACTCCTTTGGCTTACCATTATAGGAGAGAGGAGAAGCTGTTGATCTCAGAATACATTCCTAAGGGCAGCTTGCTATACGTTTTGCATGGTATGAATTTGTCTTAGTTTTATTCAATTAATCTTGTTTTAGGCCTCAGTATATGCTAGAATCATTTTTTTTCGATTGACTGGTGAAGAGTACCAATCTTGCATATACTTGGTATGTCGTTAAAGTTGGTCGATATTATCAAATATCAGTAGACTATATTGGCCAAATATCAACAATGTACCAAGTACTAAAAGTGGTATTCGTAACAAAAAAAATTCCCGCTTAGAGAACAGGCTACCATTCTACGATTTCTTAGTACATTGTAGATTGGTATAGTGCCAAACTCTTAATTTTCCTAATAGATCATATTGTTTAACAATATAACATGTTAGATTGTTTAACAAGACACTTCTCACTAGACGAATGCAACAAAAATTTCCATTGGATAGATATAAATATCAATTTTTGTTTCTTGGTGGTATACATATATAAATTTCTGATGCACATAGAAATCTAACCAGACTAATAAATATATGCACACTATTGAATTTGCAGGTGATCGTGGAATTTCTTATTCGGAGCTGAACTGGCCTACCCGTCTGAAGATTGTCCAAGGAATTGCATGTGGAATGGGATTCATCCACACAGAGTTTGCATCCTATGACCTGCCCCATGGAAACCTAAAGTCCAGCAACATTCTACTAAAAGAAGACTATGAGCCGGTCCTCAATGACTATGCCTTACATCCTCTCATAAACCCTAGCAATGCTGCACAATCCATGTTTGCTTTTAGGACCCCAGAGTACATAGAATCCCAGCAAGTATCTCCAAAAGCCGATGTATACTGCCTTGGGATTGTGATCCTTGAAATCCTCACCGGGAAGTTTCCATCTCAGTATCTGAGCAACGGGAAAGGCGGAACCGACGTCGTTCAGTGGGTCCAATCAGCCATGGCTGATCAAAGAGAACAAGAGTTGCTAGACCCAGAGATAGCAAGTGAGACAGACTCAGTGGATCAAATGCTGCAGCTTCTGATGGTTGGAGCTGATTGCACTAAGAGTGAGCCTGAGCAAAGGCTTGATTTAAGCGAAGCCATTAGGAGGATTGAAGAGGTACAAGCTTGAGAAGCTTGCAGGCATGCATATATATAAAAATATATATATGCTAATATGCTTGCTATATATTCTTCAATGGATTTACTTCAATACAAATGGGATTTTCTTACAAAGGTGAGAAATTGAAAGGGCTGATGAAGGGATCAGAGAGTGTTACTGCAACCACAGAAGCAAACGGAAAACGAGTGAAAAATACTAAATTAAAAAAGGGTGCTAATTCAGGAAGTTTTTTTTTTTTTCTTACCATATATATAGGTGAGTTAAAAAAAGGGTAGGAGAGAGAGTGCTGGGTTGGAACAAGGGAGGAAAAATGGAATTTAGTGAAAAATACTGAATAAATTAAGTGATATTTCTATTTTGGAGGAAGGTTTGGATCTTAGTTCTTGTTTTTTTTTATTCTTTTTTTTTTAGTTGTACAGAGAAGGAACCATAATCATAATTTTCGTTTTTTTTTAGGAATACTAACACACAGATTCATTCACCTACTTACATGTTGATTGACTAAACATACATGTATCACATGATTTTATTTATTTTTCATTTATCAAGCTTTCAAAACTGCCAAAGACGTTGCCAACATCTATGTTTTATGCTGACTGTATCAATCAGTAAATCTACATTTTAGAAATAAATAAGATTGAATTATAAGAAAACTGCCACAACGAATAACATTTGGTGAATAAATTAGGTAGTCTAGCGATAATCAAAAGTTACATACGAGCCGAAAACGATAATAAAATAGAGAAATAAATACGACGATGCAAATAACTTCTATCTCAAAATAATTAAGAGCAACCGTTTTTAAATTTAACGCATGCGTTACACCCATGTATCTGCATCTCTCATCACGTAAAGTTTTTCTCCTGTACTGTACTTGAGGTTATGTTCCATTCCTTATAATTATCGAAAAAGAATGCAAGGACATGCCAAGAAAACGCGAGTCTTATGGTGAAAATTAATCACTGTTCATGAAGAAATTGGTTACGTAGACAAGAACTTGCATATAGTTGCATGTCAGGGAGTGTATATATTTGTTTCTTTCTCTTCTCTCATGTATACAGTCAGCAAGTCACATATGAAGAGAAATAGAGAAAAACGTGTATATTTTTAGAGTAGGCAAGCTTTTTTGGCCCATGTGTTCGTCAATTGAGGAAGAAATTTTTGCATGTACTAGAACATTGTCGCACGGTGTTATTATTCACATGTTATATAATATCAGTAGACGACGAATTTTATTACATCTCATATTTAAAGTATATTAATAAAAAAAGATTACAAATATTATAATTTACGATAAATAATAACACTGCATAGTGTCTCGGATACAATAAAAGTTTACTCCGATGAAAGCCCAAACCCACTTATCCCATATGGGTCGACAGGTTCTGGCGTTGTTGGGTTTCGGCTGCCATGTCTGACCAAAGAAAGTAGCTCCCTTTTACTATTTTTATATGTCGGTTTGTCAAATCGCCAAAACCTACCACATGTTAAAGAGGTACCAAACACAGATCACAATCGAATATAGTGGCTGTTGTCAGAGGAAGACGAAGAGTTTAAAGATCCCAGGAAGGAACATGGGAACTGCATCAGAGATTGTAGCTAAACTGAAACTGAATCCCCACCCTGAAGGTGGCTTTTATTTCGAAACTTTCAGAGATACTTCCATTGCCCTGCCATTGTGTCAGCTTCCCCCAGACTGTAAGATTTTCTCGCTTCTGCTTCTCATTCATTCATTCCTGTGAATTTTCATGGTTTACAAATGATTTGAATTTTGAATATTTGATTTTTGTTTCATTATGTATTGGGTTTTATTGTTATCTGCATATTGATCTTGGATTTATAATTTTTGGAAAATCTTTGGAAGCTCCTAAGTAGTGAAATAGATTGGTTTGTATGGATTAATGTGTTGTGTTTTATGAAATTGGATTTTTTGTTATTGGAATTTAAGGCTCGTATGCAAGCAATCATTCTCCTGTGTGTTTTTTTTTTTTAAATGAACGATAGCGTTTAGTGGGTTAAATTGTTAGTTATTAAAGAGGAGGGAAGGGAATCTTTGGAGATTGAACCCGTAACTATGGTGCATAGATATGATTGCTTTTCGCCGCTGTGATAAAGTGCGACATGCATTCTCCTATGTGTTAACTGCACTTTTAATCATATTGATCGCTTGTCGACAATTGTAAAGTTGAAGTATCGATAGTGTCAATAGTATTATTATCTACAATGTATCGACAGCATATCCGCATTCATACGTGGGATGTGAGAATCTTTTTAGCCCAATTGAATTTTGATATAGGATTGAGTCCAATTGTAATGTATGGGAATTGTGGTTGTATTATTTGTACCACTTTCTTTTACTAACATAAGTGTAGTTTATCTGCAGACAAGGTTGAGCGCCCTGTGAGTTCATCTATCTACTTCTTGCTGCCGTCTGGGAGTGTATCTCGCCTTCATCGTATACCAATGGCAGAAACCTGGCATTTTTATCTCGGAGAGCCCATTATGGTACACCTCGAATCACGGCTCACTGAACGATTGAATCATCTGCATTCACATGTCATTTCTGTACTCATTTCAAGATATTCATATGATGCATAACCATCTTACCGTACAAACATTTGCTCGGAATTGTGTAGGTTTTCAGCTAAATTGGTTGATAGTTGATACTCGGCCTCGGCTTTTGAATTAAGATAGATAATCTTACATTTGCTGTCCAAATGATTCGTTGTACTTTGATCTTATATCTTGCCTACTCTTGCACTCAAAATGATTCATTTCACTGTGAACTCCGGGTTGAGATTTCTCATCAGATTTCTGCGCTATGTTTTCCGTTTGGTAGTTGTGGGAAGCATTTAAATGTTTATAGAGAAACAGATAATGTAAAATTTCTGCTCTGTAACACCGCTGTATCTGCTATCAGGTCGTGGAGTTGGGGGAAGATGGGAAGGTCAAGTTAACCTGCCTCGGACCCGATTTGGGAGCGGATCAGCAACCCCAGTACACAGTGCCTCCAAATGTATGGTTTGGTTCCTTCCCAACAAAGGACTACAGCATTTCATCAGAAGGGGCATTGCTCAAAGCTGCTCCAAGGGATGCCGAGACTCACTACTCTCTCGTGGGATGTACTTGTGCACCTGCCTTTCAGTTCCAGGATTTCGAGTTGGCAAAACGCTCCGATCTTCTTCCTCTTTTTCCTGGTTACGAGGCTCTCATAACGCTGCTTACTTTCCCTGAAGAAGCATAAGCATTTGCTGCTGTAATGTTATGGTTGTATTAGCTCAATGTTCATTCTGAGTTTTTACATGTTTATGTATCCGAAGCGACCGAGGATTGTTCAAACATCGTTTCACATACTAATATGTTAAGACTTCAGATTTGATGATCCATTGATTTGGCTTGATCATACAGATCTTATATAAATATAATAAGGATTTGAACATGAATATCTTACAGATGTAATAACACTGAATGTGCCATGAAATGTGTACCTCCACAACGGTTAACAACCCATGGAAAATCAAAACTAATTATGTTCAACAGAGAAACAACTGCAAATCTAAATTCCGAATCAGTTCTGCAGAACCCGAAACCATGCTTGCACGTATCAATCAAATCCAAATGAAACAGGGAAAGATCATCGACATTGCCACACATCTAGTAGACCCAGAACACAACTTCCACTCAATGAGTCCTCAGAACTGATATGACTTCTCTTCTTGTTTGCACTCCTATATAGGTGAAAACCTCGGGTCACTGTCGCACTAAAATTCGCAGACATGGCCTGAACCCACGATAAAATGGGTGGGCAAGTTAATCAAAATCAAGGAACTCCATTCTTTTTCTCATGGAGCCTTTTAAATCTGTCGCATCCCTCTCTGCTTTCTGAGCCTGAACAGAAGAGAAATGTACTCGAATTATTGTAAAGTGCAAACGACCATAATAGCAAGGAACAATCCAACCCAACCACCTGAATAATACATTACAAAGATTGCTATTTATACAATAATCTTAAAAGGAAAGGATTTAACTGAAAGGTTGCAACATCCAGCCGTAACATCTAGGAAGAACCAAAGTGAATGTATTCCCATTCAAAATAGCAGCGCATAACGTTGCTCGTTTGTTAACCGTGGCAGGACAATGTAGAATTACGCGCAAAGAATTTAACCATAGCACATATGCATTCACAAAATTAGGGTTTTCTTAATATGACCTAATGCCATCACCCTAAGCATTGCAGATTGCAATTTTCGATTGCAGTCTTAACCAATAAACATACAGACTTACCCTTTTTATCTCTGCTTCTGGTACCAAAGTCATATGAGGGGGAAGCTCCTCCTTATCCAATTCCTATAAAATTAATAACAAGAATTTAATAAATGAACTGATAATGTAGTAAAAGATATTAACAATAGTCAAGTCTCACAGGACTGAAAGAGAATGCAATATACCAGCTCTCCAATTAAGACGACATTCTCCCCACGGATTACATATAGACCTAATGGGATGTCACAATAAAGGTCACCCACAATTACTCTTTCACATGCGCCTTCAAGAACAACATTAGCTGTGCAGATGAAAGACCACTACCATCATTAGCTATGGTTTCAATAGAAATAATAAGAGTGAAGATAATGATAACTCAGTAAGTCACGTGGAGTAACAGATTAGTATTACCAAACTGATCAAAAGACCGTAGCAATCCCAACAGCTTTCGTCCATCTCGCAGCAAGACAAGAAGCTTTTCTGAAAAATAAATAAAAAATCATAATATGCCAAGTACTTTGCAACGAATCAATCTCTAATGACAATCAGTTTACTGATACATCCCACATATTACCAATCCCTACAATCACATAGAGATTGCAGTGACCTTAAAGCACTATCAGCATCCGAGTCATCCTTATTACTGGATTGAATATTGAGGCATTACGAACATAGCTTTCCATTTTCTCAAACTCTTCACCAACGGGAATGCACAAAGTGATACTGCGAGCAGTTCTAATAGCCCGAATGAACGGTTCTCATTTCTTATTCAAACTCTTGTTTCATCATCACCTTCTACTTTGAGAAAATATTTCTCCCATTTATACTTTTGCTTATGAAGCAAATATACGCTTTCGATCCTAACAAATTGGGAAAATTGGATAACACCCCCATACACAAATCCTCAATTTAGCAGTAGAAATTCAACATCACTATAATTACTCAGTGCAAAGACCTAAAGTTTGAAGCTTCACTTCTTTATCTTCCTTATATCTCATCTTAATTCAAAATTTGCAACAAAACAGTACATACAATAAGGGATCTGCAAATCAAACAGTATAACAGCTGCTTTCAAACCCTAACAAAATTTTACAAGAAAAACACCGGAACAGAGCTCAAAAAGGTAATTCACAGCTAAAACATACAACACATAAAAATTTCACAAAACCCAATTTTCAATCACTTCAAATTAGATCTAGAGAGAGAGAAAGTTAGAGAGAGAGTATACTGTCAAGATAGGTAGCAAGAGAAGTGGAAAGGAAAGTATCTTCTGCCCCAGCCCACGACATGAAGTAAGAAGTATTCCTCCTCCTCTTAATCCTACTGGGAAATTGGGAACTTGAAACTGCAACCAAAAGAACCCTTAAACCTTCTCCAATGGCATTGGCTTCTTACCACCAAAAGAAATAAAAATCCCCAAAATCCCCAGAGCCCTAAACTTTCAATCACACACTGCCTCTACCAACCCTAATTCCAAATTTCCAACAATACCCATCAAAGATGGAAGATTGTGAGTTGGGTTTGAACCATTAAAGTCATCGGCTTGGCCGAAAAGATGACATCTTTTACTCTTTTATTGGTTCTCTCTCTCTCCTTCTGACAATATATTATAATTATTTGTTATTTACTTTTCTTTCTTTTTTTTATTGAAATAATTATCTGTTGATAAATAATAATTATGTTTAACTGGATACAATGAATTGGGATTAATACCTCGCTTAAAAGGGAAATCTTTGATTAATTATAGGTGTTTTATGGAGCGGATTAGATTAATTTTAGGGAACTTTAACGAAAAGCATCTGGTACTGTTCACTTTAACGAAAAACCACATTTTTACACTAAAAAGTCAATCATGGTACTATTCATTTTACTCTTTATTTTGTCCTTATCATTAAAACTCAAAGTTTTCAAGCCCTTTTCATTAGTTTTCCTTTAATTTTAGTATCATAGATCTACACGATCTGATTAATTATACGTTCCCTCATACGTAATCCTTTCATCATCATAAATGAAGCCATTGGAGAATGATGTTTTTTTTTTCATTTAGAAAAGGTTGAGAAATAATGTTAAACCTTAAAATAAGGTTTTCAAACAAAAGAAAAACAAAGGTTCCTTTGAATGAAAACTTTAAAGATTTTTGCTTATTTATCAGGAGCTAAATTTATTAAGAGCATTTATATGTGTTTTCAGATTTGATCCCTCTTTCCCGCATTATCATTTGAGTTAAGAAATCTTTTTTTTTTTTACTTATTTACAAAATGCTTTGAATTCTTAATTATGTTGATGCAGGGCGCTCTTTTTCTCTTTATTCGGGTTTCATGTCCCGGAAAGCTCATGTTAGCACCCTTTCCATTTGCTTGTACGTTGTTCCACCATGAAATGAATATCGTATTTGATTTAAAAATAATAATAATGTCCAATCATGGAGATGGAGAAGTTTAATGTAAGAACTATAATAATTGTTAGAGAAATGTTACGAAGATTCTCTCAAAAGTGTGACTCTCCATCAATTTTCTGTCACTTCATGTTTTTAGATGTTTCATAATAATATGGTTTTTAGCACAATGTTTTACAATATTGGTAAAAAAAAATTAACACTAAAATGTAAGGTGATGAAGAGTTATAAAGAGTTCTACTTTTGAAAAAGTTGCTTAGCATTTCTCTAATCATTTTGTGGTATTATATTGTTGATCCGGACTAAGAAAAAGTTTTCACATATTGGTCTCGTATTATCTTATTACTGATTTTTTGTTGCCTTATTTCAATAAAACTATTTATTTGGAGTAAAGAAAAACAATATAATTTTATTAAAATATCAAATACAACACAACACATCAATAGTAAGAGCTCAAAGAGTCTCCACTTTAGCAATATTCGCCGTGCAAAAAAAAAAAAAAGGAAAGATAATAGTCTCCTTTTTTTGTGATGAAATTATGAAAGATAAACAGTCATTTATTTCGTTATTTTTCTCCTGATTATGTTCTAATCAAACATAGGCCAAAAATGTCACACTTCGCATTCCACATGCCCAACTGTAGAGCCCAACCAAACAACTTTGCAGCAATTGACAGAACTCTGCACATTAAATTTAAATTCAGCATAACCACGAAGAATTTAGCTATAACACTTACACATATACAATACAAATTTCGACGTTAAATGATGATTAAATACATGCATTCACATAATTATATAACCGTTAGATAAAAATGACATTATAGTCAGTCATAACAAGAGAAAAGTCAAGTGACAAATCAAAATTTGTAAGAGACGTTAAAAACTTACCTTGTATGGTTTGAAGCCGCAACAAAATGGTAGAAGTGATTCAGTAAACTTATATCTCTAGAACGATATCTGCAACCAGAAAAAAAAAATTGTGTGAATAAAGTTATTTCCAAAGCATATGTGTCTTTTGCATAAACAGACTCTTAATCCATGTCTTAATCATGTTTAAGTGCTTACATTCAGAATCAGTCTTGTCCCATTTAGCTTTGGCAGACTTGGGGTTGCTGTTCTCCAAGTACTTTTTCATGGACATTGTTGAAGTACTTGAACTTCGGGGGTATATATTCTTGTGAAGGATTGCCCTCAGTATCTAGCATTGACCCAAAACAAAAAATATGTTAAAAATGATTAAAAAAAAAAAAGAAGAGATAAAATCTTGTTATGAAGTATTGCAAATCGTAATAATTTAAGGACATTTTCCAACTTTTGTTAATTTTTTGCTATGTAATCCATTAAATTTACTCTCTGGTCTCATGTGGTGTGAATGTGGAGATTTAGTACAAAAAATTAATAGAATTTGAGATGTATCTTTCGCTTGAAATATATCGTTTGGAAACTATATTCTACATGACCAGATGACCAATTTGATGCCCTCTCATTTCATGAAGTTTCACTTTGTTCCTTGTATTTTCAATTGCAACAAATTTTGTCCCTATAGTACGCAAATTGTATGAGGATATTTTTCAACTTCTCATACTTACCCTCTCACGTGTCGCGCACTTGGCTATTTCATACCAGAAATTAACGCATGTTGCCAAAGATGACCGTATATGATACAATACAGGCATGAAAGTTAAACTTTATATATTAATATTACAGGGCCAAATATATGTTGTATAATGGATTTACCTTCTCCATTCTTGACTCCGGGACTGGATCTCTTAGACCAGGAGCAGCGGCAGCTGGTGCAAACCCACTGCTACAAACAAACACTTTCTTGAGGAGAAAAGAGAGTGATTTCTTCGCAATGGTGGAGTTTGTGTTATCCAAACAAACATCTTTCCACGGCTGAGAACGACACTCGAGCTCCGTTGGAATCGACTCATATTTTCTTTCGGCAGCTCGTCACAATCTACATTGTCAGTACTTGTTATCTCAGGTTTCAAGCTCGACTGGTTGCTTAGAAACTTGTTAGGAGCTTTTTCAAGCTCTAGTAATGCAGCTGAGTTTGATTGGTTCAAGTACGAGCTCAACTCGTTCTGAATGTGTGTAGCGTCCTCTGGTGTGAAATCATGGAGGTGGTCGTTGGGGGAGGGTGGTGGATTGGTTTGTTGATCTAGTTTCAAGTCACCATTTCCTAATGTTCCAATTGCCAGCAGCCCGTGATGCCATTCATTTGCTTCTTCTTTGGAAGGTTTTTGTTGCACCTTCTCGTCTATAAAAGAATAAAAAGAACAAATTAAATATATTGATCCAAGAATAATTAGCAAATACAAATTAATAAAAAATTAATTACCATCAAAGAATTTTAAGCTTGGTTTTTCAAGCCGGGGTTTCCCAGTGAGCTTGCTTTGCATCCAATCAAATATCTGCAATCAAACAAGTCAAAACACTTATAAATTACGAGAGAAACTTATTTACACACGATATGTTACTATGTCGGTATTCTGAATACATGCCACTGTTAGTATATTTTACAAAAACACAAGTATCTTGTTACCTTCATTTGTTGAAGTGTCTTCTTCTAATTGGGTGATTAGCAGCAAGCCAGGTTTGCAGATTAAAAGAGCTTAGAGAAAGGGTGTGGATAAAAGTGGGCTTATAGAGATAAGGTAATTTTTGTGTACACAGATCTCATAAGCCAGTGAGAGCTTAGCTGCAAAAGCCTTTATATAGAAATAGAATAGAGCTGTGATTTGAGAAGTTCCATAGTTCAAGTTCCCAAACACTTACTTTGGCGCCTTTTCTCTCTCTCTCATCTCTTTGCATTTGATCACCTAAATAAGAGATTTTTTAGCATATATGCTGAGAACACGATTCGGTACACCAAATGCAATAATATAATTGGTTAGAAACTTAAAATAAATTCAACAAATTATAGAATATAGCAGTATGTTTACCAACACACTAAATAATTTCTCCACCTAAGTATTTTATGTTTCCCAACCAGTACTATCTCTTCTTTTTTTCACACTACATTATTATTGTTCGTTCCCAACCAGATTTCCCACTAATTGAAGAATTCTGAAAATTGATGAGTATCTGATCACATAATTTTTCATGCAAATCCCCCTAAAATGGGGTGCTAAAGGAGACAGTATCTATCTTCCAATTGACCAGAGCAAAAGCAATCTGCATATATGAGCAAGAACACACAGACATTACCAATTTTACCATCTTACAGTCAACTAACAATGTCCCGTTACTCTATTTAGAGAGGTATTAATTAAAAACAAAACTACCAATTTCCTTATTTGTAAGAATCACTAAAATATGCCCCAACTAATGTCATGAAGAAAACTAACAAGTTTATGCAATAAGATGGAGTAATTTATCAGTCTATTATATTCAAATATGGACACATTCTGAATCTCACTTATTTTTTACAATACTTTAATTAGTACGTGTTAAAACAATGACGGATTTACATAAAAGTCTGATGCATGCAATTGCCTCTCATGCACCCTAACTAATAGTACAATATTTTCGTGATATTTTTTCTTGAGCATGGCTATATATGGGTAAGATTCTTGATAAAATGCTTTTAAAAATGGATAATGTTAAGGAGTTCAATTATTTAAATCAAATTTGCAAACCAAATGATGTAGTTGTCGATGATTGGATTATTACTTCGTTGATTAACGTATTTATTTCCTATTGGCGACGTCACATCATTTGATTTGCAAATTTAGTTTAAAATTTTGGTCTCCTAGCATTACTCTTTCAAAATGTTGAGGGTGAGTAGGTAGCGAAGAAAAATAAGCCAAAGTCACGTTCGGACATCTTGCCTTTGAAAGAAAACTTCATGGATCAACCACTGATCTTAAGCAAATTTAACTCGATTTATAGTGAACATAGGGTTGATGAGAAAAATTAGTGCGTGTGGTTTTATGAATTTAAATAACAATATATGATTGAATTGTTCACCAAAATCCACTAAAATTCTCCCTCACAACACTAGTAGAAAAAACACTTTGCGCGACGAAAACTTGCGCGACGCAGCCAAATTCGTCGCGCAAAGTATGTTTGCGTGACGTCAAACACAAAGCGTCGCGCAAACGGACTTTGCGCGACGGAAGTTTGCGCGACGAAGACCGACGTCACACAAAGGTGTTTTGCGCGACTTAACTGAACCTACGTCGCGCAAACTTGTTTTGCGCGACCAAGACCGACGTCGCGCAACTTGCCGTCACGCAAAAGCCGTTTGTGCGACGTTTTGTGCGTCCCGCAAGATTTTGGCGCCAAATATAGATTGCTTTACCGTTTTTTTCATTGACTTTGCGCGACGCAAGGCCACCTACGTCAAGCAAACCAGCTTAGCGTGACGGAGGTTGACCTACGTCACGCAAAGCTGTTTTGCGTGACGTAGGTGGCGTCGCGCAAAGTCAACGACCTTTTCTTACTTCATTTAATCAGTTACCTCCCTCCCCCATCTCTCTTTCAAAACATTCTCCATTCTTGGCGTATGAGATCTTGAAGCATATAAAAACATGTTTGACAGTTTGATCGTTGAAATTAATTTCGTACAATGCGTTTCCCATCAAAACAATTGATTTACTAACACTTAGAGTTTAATTATATTTTCATTAAGTATAACTTCATATTTTTGTGGTATCCGATTGTGTAAATACTTTAAATTGACGATCGAATATGTTCATTGTATTCATAAAGGGTCAAGGAGTGTTATCTGTAAAAATTCATCAAAATCGGAGTTAAATGTACCGCTAAATCGTGATTTTTTCGTTTATAACCGTCGAAATATTTTGTCATGTTACTTGATCTCTGCATGTTCGTTTTTTTGCCATTCTTGGCGTATGAGATCTTGAAGCATATAAAAACATGTTTGACGGTTGGATCGTTGAAATTAATTTCGTACAATGCGTTTCCCATCAAAACAATTGATTTACTACACTTAGAATTTAATTATATTTTCATTAAGTATAACTTCATATTTTGTGGTATCCGCTTGTGTAAATACTTTAAAATTGACGATCGAATATGTTCATTGTATTCATAAAGGGTCAAGGAGTGTATCTGTAAAAATTCATCAAAATCGGAGTTAAATGTACCGCTAAATCGTGATTTTTCGTTTATAACCGTCGAAATATTTTGTCTTGTTGCTTGATCTCTGCATGTTCATTTTTTGCCATTCTTTGGCGTATGAGATCTTGAAGCATATAAAAACATGTTTGACGGTTGGATCGTTGAAATTAATTTCGTACAATGCGTTTCCCATCAAAATAATTAATTTACTAACACATAGAGTTTAATTATATTTTCATTAAGTATAACTTAATATTTTGTGGTATCCGCTTCTGTAAACACTTTAAATTGACGATCGAATATGTTCATTGTATTCATATAGGGTCAATGAGTGTATCTGTAAAAAAATCATCAAAATCGGAGTTAAAAGTACCGTTAAATCGTGATTTTTCGTTTATAACCGTCGAAATATTTTGTCTTGTTGCTTGATCTCTGCATGTTTCGTTTTTTGCCATTCTTGGCGTATGAGATCTTGAAGCATATAAAAACATGTTTGACGGTTGGATCGTTGAAATTAATTTCGTACAATGCGTTTCCCATCAAAACAATTGATTTACTAACACATAAAGTTTAATTATATTTTCATTAAGTTATAACTTCATATTTTGTGGTATCCGCTTGTGTAAATACTTTAAATTGACGATCGAATATGTTCATTGTATTCATAAAGGGTCAAGGAGTGTATCTGTAAAAATTCATCAAAATCGGAGTTAAATGTACCGCTAAATCGTGATTTTTCGTTTATAACCGTCGAAATATTTTGTCATGTTACTTGATCTCTGCATGTTCGTTTTTTGCCATTCTTGGCGTATGAGATCTTGAAGCATATAAAAACATGTTTGACGGTTGGATGGATCGTTGAAATTAATTTCGTACAATGCGTTTCCCATTCAAAACAATTGATTTACTACACTTAGAGTTTAATTATATTTTCATTAAGTATAACTTCATATTTTGTGGTATCCGCTTGTGTAAATACTTTAAATTGACGATCGAATATGTTCATTGTATTCATAAAGGGTCAAGGAGTGTATCTGTAAAAATTCATCAAAATCGGAGTTAAATGCACCGCTAAATCGTGATTTTTCGTTTATAACCGTCGAAATATTTTGTCTTGTTGCTTGATCTCTGCATGTTCGTTTTTTTGCCATTCTTGGCGTATATGAGATCTTGAAGCATATAAAAAACATGTTTGACGGGTTGGATCGTTGAAAATTAATTTCGTACAATGCGTTTCCTATCAAAACAATTGGTTTACTAACACTTAAAGTTTAATTATATTTTCATTAAGTATAACTTAATATTTTGTGGTATCCACTTGTGTAAATACTTTAAATTGACGATCGAATATGTTCATTGTATTCATAAAGGGTCAAGGAATGTATCTGTAAAAAATCATCAAAATCGGAGTTAAATGTACCGTTAAATCGTGATTTTTCGTTTTATAACCGTCGAAATATTTTGTCCCCGTTACTTGATATTTGCATGTTCGTTTTGTTGCCATTTTTGGTATACGCGATCTCGAATCATATACAAACAAGTTTGACGGTTTGGATCGTTCAAAATATTTTCGTTACAGTGCGTTTCCTTTCAAGTTCAGTGGTATATATATTTACTATGTAGATTTTAATTTATTTATTTTGTAGTTATAACACTTTAAGAGATTGAATGATATATATGTTAAAAAAAATTATTATGGATTTTTGTTAGAAAAAATATATTATTGTGGGGTTTAAGTAAAAAAAAGAATTGAACTTGAATGGAGTAAAATCACATTTTCAGTAAAATTTTTTTAATAATTTTTTTAAAAATAAAAAATAACTTGCGTGACGCTTTAATGTAATCGTCGCGCAAAACCACTTTGCGCGACGTCAAATTGTATACCTACGTCACGCAAACTTGATAATTTTGGCGGTGAATAATGAAAAATAGGTGAATAATGAAAATTTTTGGCGCTGAACCCGTTGACCTATTTCTTCCCTTTCGCTCTTTCTTTCCCGTATCTCCCCTACCCTTTCGCATAATCCTTCATCTTTCCCCTTTCCCGTATCTCCCTCTCGCTATATCTTTCCCTCATCTACTCTTCCCCTTTCGCATTATCTTCATCTTTCCCCGCATAATCCTTCATCCCAATTAGTTGCAGCAAAAGAAAATTTCTTAATTGTGGATCCGCAAATGCTTCATCTTTCCCCTTTCCCCTTTCCCCTTTCCCGTATCTCCCTCTCGCTCTATCTTTCCCTCTCGCCCTCTCGCTCTATCTTCCCCGTCACTCTATCTCCCCTTTCCATAATCCTCATCTACTCTTCCCGTAGTCCTCATCTCCTCTATCTCTCATTTTCGCCTTGATCCCCAAATCTTGAACCCAGTACCGCAGCCACACGAATCTCGAAGCCGACGTGAATCAAGTCTCAAATTCAAGGTAAGGGTTTCTGATGCAAATGTTGGTCTGGTTACTGAATTTAGCTGATGCAAATCTCGAAGGCTTCAACATTCGAAGGCTTGACTGATTAATTTATGATTATGAGATGGGTTTTGTTTAGTCTCCAATAACTCTCAATATCTCTGATTTTATGAGATGGGTTTTACTGATTAATTTTATGCAAATGTTGTTTGGTTGAAATAGCAATTGAGTCTCCAACATTCGAAGGCTTGACGTTCTTGTGTGGTGTTTTTCTCCCTCTGTGTGCAGACGGTTCCTGCTTGTCAAAATCTCCAAGGCTTGACGGTTCCTGCAGACGGTTCCGGCTTGACGTTCTTTGCTGCTCCGTATAAATTAGCTTGAGGGTGAGCCTATCACTGTCCCTCACCTAATTGTAAACAGCAGTTTCTCAGCAGCCTCACCTACTTGTGGGGTTTCCTTCTTTGAATGGTTTTAATATGGTATTCCTGACGTTGCTGTTATGTAATTACCTTTTCTTTTCAAAATTTCCCTTAATATGATATATGTAAGAAAAGGAGGGCGAGGGTTTTGGTTTACAGTGAGGGATGAATGGGCACTATTCAGCTTTGAATTTACAGAAATGCCAAAAATTTAACTCTTGATATGTTTCGTGTGTGTTAAGGAACTAGTACATCAAACTGTAGAGCCAATAGGTAACTTACTATTGGGCTTTGCTTCTCATTAGACTTTGGTCTCCAGTCTCAGCCAGAATATTCTCCAGTGAAGACTCAATTTTCAATACAACTCCAGTGGATGCCTTTACCAAACCAAAAATGAATAAACGTAAAATGAACCAATAGAAATACAATTCCATTATTGATTTCTTGAAAAATGTGTAGAGTACCTTTTAAATTGTTGCTCGTCCTCAGGTCTTTGAGAAGTCTCTGCTATGCACTTTAACCCTTGATGAGGTACATATGTTCTTATAATTGATTTGTCTTTCTGTCTTTGTATCTAAACATGTGACAATATTTTTTAATATCTTTGTTCATTGAGCTTATTTTCTTTAGTACCTAGATTTGTACCTCATCCGCGTAGATGGCTTAAGAAGAAGAATATCATGCGCTGTTGAAAGAGAGCATGGCTTGGAGTATTCATTAATCAGGGAAACCTTTCAGGTTTGTTTTTATTTTTCACTTATATAAAAACGTAATTCATTTTTGCGGCGAAGTTACAAGGAAAACTAGTTGGGATTAAACTTACCACAATTACTAAATTGCAATTAAATTGTATGTGTCTCTTGGTCTTCTAAATTAAGTGAGGTTTGGTCAGGGGTGGTGGGGTGGGATTACAGGTGTTACATTGTTGTTTGCATATTCACTAGCTTGTTATTTTGTATATAAGCGTAACTCAGCTAAGTTTATTACGAAAGTTGCTTGACAAGTGCTAAATTGCTGATCGGGCATATGTCAAGTTTTGTTTAAACTGCTGAAATGGCATGCTGTTAAATGGAAGAATGAATAGAGAGTACTAGTGTATTTGGATATGTTTTCGGTGATTACTGCCTAGTTGGTTGTTAACATAATTTTGTTATTCTTCTGCCTGGAATCAGGTGGAAGGTTGCGTTATATGTTTGTTAAAATCATTGTGTCTCCTGCTGTCATCTCCGGGATGACTAGAGCACATGTAGTGAGCAGTCTTGCAATTTTTTCACACATGGTTTATTTGTTCAGTTTTCTTGCCTTTTTCTTCTAGTTTCAAATGCAAGAAAGGATTAGTTTTCTAATGTTATATTTTTATGGTTCAAAAAGTGTAGATGTCGCGGTTGATCACTCGTCGTAGGAGTGTGACCAATGCGCCTCCCGCATTATCACCATCTACTGCTCCGGCCGTGAGTGCTCCATTGATTGGGGAGCCTACACCTTTCATTGAGGCTACTGCTACGACATCCCAGGTGCCATTATCATCGACGTCATCAGTGTCCGTTCAGTTTCTCAATGCACGGCGGCCTCACCGGCGCCGCCGTGATTCAGAGTCTTCTATTCACAGTTCCTCGTCATCCAGAGTCGAGGATGGGGGCTCCCTCCAGGTAGTTTTTTTTTTCTAATTCTCATTATGTTGTATTTTTTTTTCATTTTAAAATTATTATTTTTATGATTGTGAAAATCTGCTGGATTGTGAAAATCTGTTACGGGTTGTGAATTACTGTTATTTTACTTTTTTAAGGTTTTGGGAAATGATATATTGTTAGGGGAGGTTTTTGCAGAATTTTTTGTAGAAATTTAAGCTTAGGGTTTTTCACCATAGTTTTTTTGGGCAGCTAAAAAAAAACACCAGGGGGCCTAATCGAATGCTGAAGGCGGCACAAATGGTACGTCTGTCCGCCTCCTTGATCAAGATTGCATATGACTCGCGACATCGTGGAGCGGCTACCTCACAGCAACATAGTATCGTCGTTACTAGCTGTGGTTATGTTATTAAAAATTGTTGTCCTATGCAATGGAAATCTTGGGCAGAAATTCCCGAGGAGACGAAGATACTGGTGCGAGACAAGTTGTCGGTTAGTATATTAATTTTTAGCCTTTTGTCATTTTTTTTTTCAATTATGTTTACAAATATTATAAGCCAAAGTGTACTATCTTAATATTATTAAATTTCTTACTATTATTTTGTTGTTTTTCATATTTGTAGGTCAATTTTGATTTTAAGGACATATCCCCCGAGGTCATCACCTACTTAGATGAGACCTTTGCAAACCGGTACAAAAATTGGAAGAGCGATCTTCATTTTAAGATATGGGGTGATGTGGAGACTGCTCGCCTACAGGGTTGCCCATCCGAGTTGGCGGACCGGCGAGAGGATTGGGAGTGGCTTTGCAACCATTTTACGGACCCAAAATTTGTGGTATGTACATAATATTTTAATAATAATTCATTAATGTTTTAGTTATTTTTTTAAGCATTTTAAAATAATTGCTTTTAAATCGTCACACTAACATCTATATTATGTGTTTCACAGAAGAAATCTATTGCTGGCAAGATTGCTCGGGAGTCAAAGACACTTCTCCACCATTCCGGGTTCGAAACCCTTTTCGTATAGGCTTTGAGGCACGACGTGAGGTAAAAGTATATTACTTTTGAAATTTTAATACAATTTATTTTTTATTATTGATTAATAAAATTTTTCTTAATGTTTTTTTTTTTCTTCAGGAGGGTTCTAAGTTCCCAGAGATCGACGTGTTCAATGACGTTTACGTTCAACCTGGCGATGAGACCAGTGAGCAGCTTTATGTAAGTATATGTAATTGTTATTATTCTTATATTTATGAATCGTTCAAATAATATTTATATTTTGTTATTAAACATTATATGTTTTTCTTTATTATTACAGGCTTTCTATGGTGGAAAAGCGTGATGTTGTTCTCCAAGAAGCAACATCGCAACTTCCCCCGGATACCCCGATTGAGGACGTCACTGTATCCGATGATGCAGGTTTTGAGATCATGACTGAGGTCCTGAATCAGAAGTTCGCGGTCGTCGTCATGGCAAAGTTGTTCGGGGCATGGGGAAGGCGCGTGTTCGTGAAACGGGTGCCTCTTCTTCCAGATCGACCACAGGAGAGGTCAATGCTCTGAAGGAGGAAGTGACAACCTTAAAAGGTCAGCTTGTAGCCCAGAATGAGCAGATGAAGGTTCAGAACGAGCAGTTGAGGGCCGAGAACGAGCAGATGAAGGCTCAGGTTAGGACCCATGACGACAAGATGAATATGATTCTACAGGCCTTAGCGATATCCGGTCTTCAAATCCAGATGCCATCACCTGATCTTGTTCCACCTTCGACTTCCCAGCCATTTCATCCAACTGATACCTAGTAGTTTGATGTATCAAACCTAGAAGACTACTTATTGTAGTTTTTTCTTTTTTTGTTCGGACATGTTGTATGTATATTTTTATGTAGTTTATAATTAAATACTTTTTATTGGTTTATTATTTATTTTTTAGAATTGAATTACAGTATTTATTAAAAATTATATCAAAACTTTTTTTGTCCCCAAAAAAAAAAAAGTTTGCGTGACGAAGAAGTTGCATAGGTCACGCAAAGTGCCTTTGCGTGACGCAAAATCCTACGTCATGCAATTTTTTTGTCCAAAAAAAAGTTTGCGTGACGACGAAGAAGTTTCCTACGTCGCGCAAATATCTTTGCGTGACGCATATACGTCGCGCAAAGTAGCTTTGAGCGACGCAGGCAACTTCTTCGTCGTCACGCAAAGTAGCTTTGCGTGACGTAGATGTACGTCATGCAAAGCTACTTTGCGCGACGTAGGTAAGTGCGTCACGCAAAGTGGCTTTGCGCGACACATGCAACTTCTTCGTCACGCAAACCCTGCTTTCACAGGCTTGGCGCGACGTGTGGTGCGTGACGAAGGTTCGTCGTGCAAAAACTTGCGTGACGTTTTTATGACTTTGCGCGACGAAGGACCTACGTCACGCAAAGTGTTTTTTTTACTAGTGCAAATCACAATTCGCATAATATGAGATCTATGGCGGCCGGGCCAACGTGCTGTTCATGGGAGTTCATGCATGCACGTGAACATGTTCAATCCATTGCTAAACCCTAAACCCAAAGCAAGTTGGGGGAGGCTAGTGAGGTGGAGATTTGCCAAGTGTCAAATTACGACATAGTGATGACTACTCATCTGACCGTATCCGACCAACACGTGTCTCAAAGGGGATCTGACTAACATTTCCATTGCTCGTGAACCTATGTGCTATATCTAGATTAAAAAATGAAGCAACTTTAATTTATCAACTCCATGCGATTGTCTCTCGCTTTGCTAGAACTAACCATTAGATCATATAGTATGTGTTTTATTTATTTTTTTATTTTTCTTTTTTATTTTTTTATTATAGATTTAACGGTTGAAAACTTAAAGTATTTGTACTTTAGAGTTCAATAAAGAATCGTCTCTACGATCTAAATAATGTTGTATTTTTATTACCATAACTGTTTTCAGTGATATATAGCTTCTAAATTCAGCATACATGTAAATGTAGCCATTAAATCGTATACATTTAACTTGAAAATCAGTCAATTGATTATTAATTGAGAGACTCAAACTATTACATATTAACACGAAATTTCATCTTCAAAGCCGATGCATGCTCAACATACCTCTTTAACTACGTGTTGATAATTCTGACACGCGATTCACTTGTTATACAACCCGAGAATAGACCAATTAGTTATTGATATTAGGACTTTACAAGAAATTATATAAATTAAGCCATTGATGGCCTTGAATCAAGTAACAATTGCATGGGAACTCTTCAAGATAGTAGTCAATCACCTTGACCAATTGCTTCTACTTTTCATGGAATGCACGCTTAATTAGGATATATATATATATATATGCAATCAAACATATCAATCTTTTATATATATTAAGAGTTTGTTTGACAACAATTTTATTATTAATTTTTATTTTTATTTTCATCTTATTTGATACTTAATTTTTAGTTTTCAAAAAAATAAAAATTGAAAACTATAGTTTTAAGTTTTTAGAGTTTGACATTGAGTTTTTATTTTTTGGTAAAAAATTAAAAGTAATTATAAAACAAGTTTTCGAATTTTCAAAAAAATAAAAACGAAATGGTAAGCGTGGCATGAAAGTGGCATGCATTTAATGCTTTAGAAGTGGCCGAAAAAAAGTAATTTGATTCGGTTTTTTCTGTCTTACCAAGTACGTGTCGTTGGTCTAACGAGAAAGTTGCAACAAAAAGTACACGTGTTGTGTCGACACGTGAGCTTATAATGTAAGTCTGCCTAACAGATAGTAACTAACTGCCGTTGTTTCCTTTGAACTTATCAGTTGAGATTCGAAGGAATATATTTTCTGCAACAGCAATGGCAAAACCATGTTCATCACAAGGCAGAAAAGAAGACAAATCTCACGCTTTGTAAGGTTGGCGGGCTCTTAATTATTTCTTTTGGCGGGAATTTGCATGAATATATATATACACACACACATTGATGTTTATATATTGATTTGTTGTCTTTTCGTTTTGTTCTAAAGTTAGGAGGATTAAAATTGGGGTTTCTATTTAACATATAAACCTTTTTAGTGTTTCTGGTTTTGTTATCTACTAATTAATAATAAATTAATAATGAGTTGTGATATGGAAATGATCATGCACTTTTTAGTCATTCGATTGAACAAATAATTGAGAGACAAGGGCCATAACGGAGCCAGAATTAAGCCTTCAAACACTAGGGTTTTGATTGCATTGTTAGCCTTGTAATAGAGTAAGAGAGATGTTCTATTAATTTGGAGTTTACTTTCTCTCTAAGTCTCTATTTAATCGAGGATTTATGAATTTTCAGGTTGAGTTCATACATATTCACTGTGAGAGCTGTTGTAGCTGTATTGATAATTATCGTCCCTCCTTTAGGGTTTAGGATTTATGAATTCTTTGGGAGCGGAACATGTTCGAGTAATGGCATCAGATTATAATTCAGTCCATGGAAACATATACGCAGATCTCTACAAACCAGCTGTTATCATTGGAGCCTGTTTTACAGCTGTTGCACTCGCCCTCTCCATTTTTCTCATTTTCCAACATCTCAGATCGTACAATAAACCCAGTGTTAGTTCTTTTTCCACCATATATATACCTCCATAACTCTTTTAGGGTTCCTTTTATTGGTATTTTTGTGATATTAAATGTTTGTTTACTCGGGAATAACTTTAGCAATAATGCAGTTTATATATTAATTTTACTGAATTCTGCAAATCTTGCATGAATGTGATATTGTTCAAACCGGTGTATGCTTATTATTCAATTCTCGGTTGCTACACCGGTGTGAAAATGAATGCATCATGATCGAAATTGAAAAGCAAACTACCTTGAAATTCATCTGTCGTTTGTGCTTAATATGTATTCATTGATTCAAATACTTTTAAAATTGAAAATATAGAAATTGCTTGGTGGTTTCCAGTTTGGACTAGCAGTATTTAATTCCCTAATTATTTATTTTCCAGGAACAAAAATGGCTCGTTGCCGTAGTCTTCATGGTACCTGTATATGCTACTGAGTCAGTAAGATTTCCTCTATCTAAATATCATATGCTTGTCCTCTTAATTTTTGGTATACTGCCTGCAGTTCAGAAGGAAAACAAAATAAGAGAAGGCAACATGATATTATAGGTTTCTTCTCTGTACCGAATCTGTATCCTTCGTCAACGGATTCATTTTCTGTTGTGTTCGTTGTTTTTGGTGTCTCCGTCATGCAACATTGGCATTAATTTTCTGGTTTTGACTTCTACAGATTTTATCCTTGTGGAACCCGAACCTTTCTCTTGCCTGTGACATTTTAAGAAACTGTTATGAAGCATTTGCCTTGTATTCTTTCGGAAGCTACTTAGTTGCCTGTCTCGGTAAGTCACTTGTTAATTTCTGCATTGGTTTCAGAAACATATATATATATATATATATATTACTACTTGTATCTGCTCTGGTACAATCGTGGCAGTTTGACGATGTTATAATTTTCCTAATCACTTTTGATGGTTATTATGTAGGAGGTGAAAGAAAGGTCATAGAACTACTTGAAAACCAATCGGAAAAACTGCTCAACAGACCACTGATAGAAGGAGTGGCAGACGAGGATCACACCGTGCCACATTGGTCCCTTCGAAACTTCTTCTTACGACCATCTGTTCTTGGGAAACATTTGCTCAATATAGAAAAATTTGGCCTTGTACAATATGTAAGTCGCTACTCTTTTTCCCTGATAAATTTAATTCAACTTTGTTGGCTCTAATACGTGCTAGGTGTGCCCAGATGATTCTGAAGACAGTTTGTGCATTCTTAGCTTTAGTGTTGGAGCTCTTTGGTGTGTATGGAGACGGAGAATTCAAGTGGTATTACGGGTATGTAATTCATGCAGATATGGCTTATTGCTCTGGCATTCTTCATGGATGCTTTTGATGCGCCGGTTTAGATGCATCTCCCACTTCACCCGTAAGCCTTACTTCTCTGCAGGTATCCATACATGGCTGTTGTACTGAACTTCAGCCAGATGTGGGCATTGTATTGCCTTGTGCAATTCTACAATGTAACACACGAAAGACTTGAACCTATTAGGCCGCTCGCAAAGTTCATCAGCTTTAAAGCTATTGTGTTCGCCACTTGGTGGCAAGGTGTGGGCATTGCGCTATTATGCGCATTTGGTGTTCTTCCTAAGGACGTTAAACTACAAAGCGGCTTGCAGAATTTCCTGATTTGTATTGAAGTATGTCGCGTCTTTTGCTTTGGCAACTCTGTTTCTCATCGAACAACGATGGCCGCAAAGCTTCACTATAATTTTGTTTACTCCTAAAGATAATGCAGGTTTTTATCTGTTTGATTGGCAGATGGCAATTGCAGCCGTTGCGCATATGTTTGTCTTTTCAACTGAACCATACCATTACATTACAGCATACGAGTATGGGAAGGTCACCACTGAAACAACCAAGGCAGAAGTGAAGTTGGAGGAAGGTGACGCCCCAGCCAGGCTCGAAAAAACGGAGACCAAGGTCGAAGCGCCTGGAACAAGTATCACTGAGAGTGTTCAGGACATTGTTGTTGACGGCGGTCAGCGTGTAAGTTTCTTCCCCATCGATAATTATCCACCGGATATTATGTAGTCTATCGATTCTTCTAAATTTACACATTCATATTGCACAATGTAAGCAGGTTGTCAAGGATGTTGTGTTGACCATAAATCAAGCAATAGGGCCAGTTGAGAAGGGAGTCGAGAAGGGCGTGACGAAGATCCAGGAGACGCTCCATCACAGAACAGTGGACTCGGAATCGGGAGAACACGAAGATAAGTCAGAAGTAGAAGTTGAGGAACAATTCGGAAATACTGTCAGAGAAACTCATATCGACCTGTAGGAAAACATAGAACCCACTTTCTGCTTGAATTGAAGGAATGGTCACTGTATTTAATTTTTTTGACAGAAATAACGATTGAAGAACACGAACAGATTCGAATGTTTATTCGGGACATTCTTGTACATAAATATTTCTTCAACCGGGCATAAAACAGTGTTGAAATTGACGAAACGCAAGTTTTAGCCCTCTGGAAGCACACTGGCTGTAAGAATGTGAAGAATGTGTCGTAAGACTTTTTAGTTTTAACCATATATATCATTCCTGTTGAAATGTACAAGGTTCACCCACTGTAAAAAAAGAAATCCGAAAATAGTAACGTTACAACGGTGTATGAATTTCTCGTCTACTCGCCGTCTAGCTGTGCGTATTTGATGCCATGAACAAAATCCTATACGCTACTTGTATTCTACAAGATGGTCCAATTCGTACTGCCAATTTTTACGATCCGCCATCTCCTCCGCAGCATCCACGCCAGCAGAACGCACAGCAGTTGAGGCAGCCAGCACACGCAAGACCAGTGAAGAGCTGAGTGAATACGGTTGCACATTGAGGATTTACCTTGGAGCAACACTGGATGCAGGCCATGCAGCAGCATCTGTTCCATATTGCGCCACAGCAACTTGAAGCTGCTCTCACAAAAATTTCAGCAGCTTCCGGGAGTTTTTGTTCTTCGGATCCAGGAGGAATGTTCTCGGCTGTAGCCACTAAGTTGCCAAAGCCAACGGATAGTGTCGGAAGCAACATCGGTTTTTCAGAGTCTTTTGTTATGTTTGTGCAGCTTTTCTTTGATGCCTGTTATCATGTTTATTGAACAATCAATCAGAAAGATGATCTATCAAATATACGAAAGTACAGAGTTTCATCTATTTAAGTTGCAATAATTTTGGAAATAAAAAAACTGTTCACAAAAGACATACTATCATTTCACTATAAGGTGAAGAATAAGATAGAACGAAACACTAATTTTGCACGACGAAGTAGTTATGGACTTGATGATAACCACAGGATGCGCTATCAATTGTCCCAGTAGATCAACATGGCGGAATTTTAGTTCTGTTTTAGAAAAATGCTTACCTCTTGTGATCCAGATAGTTCTTTGTGAAGTATCACCATGCGCGTATACTCACTCACGACATTGGTCTGCAAGCTCAGTTTAGCTACCTGCAAATAGTAGGATATAACATCAGAATATTCGTAATTACTATGAAGTGGAAACTGATTCGTTAAATTAAGTGGCATATGGCACAACTTCGAAAATCAAGGACGCTTGGTAAGATTTTCGTTTTTAGTTTTTGGTTTAGAGATAGAGAGGAAATACGTGGAGGAAAAGAGAGATAGAGGAGGTTGAGGGAGGTGGTCATCTTTTCGTAACCTCTCTATTTTTTAATTTTCAGGGTAGGGAAATGTAGTGAAGCAAGCAACAAACCTTATCCTCAAGCTTTTTGTTATCTCCATACCATGCCTGAGCAGTCAGCAACTCAATCTGTCCTTTTGTACATAACTGTACAGAAAAGGGAAAAATTGTCAGGAAACAGGAAATAAAGTACAGTCCTGTCGATGGCTTGTTGCAAAATTCGAAGGACAGGAGGATTTATTTTTAACTGGAATAAGAACATAGAGAACCCTAACTTGTACTGAAATGGCAAAATAAGTCATTAATGTGATCATGCATGAGTGCTGAAACAGATATTTTGTATGGGACTAAGCAACTACAACTTAAACCAAGACAAAATGGAACGTGAACTGGAATTGTGCAAGCATGGAGAGAAGTGTACAATCCAGTAGGAGGAACCATCATTCAGTTCACGAAAATACAGAACTGGCAAAGCCAACTCAATAGCAAAACTATCAGACTAGCCAATAATATACATGTTTACTCATAAAAAATATTCTAAAAAGATTTATGAGCAGAAGTCAAACTGTAGTTAAGCTAACAAGTCAATGGCTTAGTGGTGCCCTTACCTTGTCAAGAGGTAATTCCTTTGCATCTTGTAACTTCAAATTGATCTCAATATTAGACATATCCGGTAAAAGACCTTTAACTTTAAGTGTGCTGGGAAACTTTCCTCGGAATCTGCCAGATACAGTTAATGGACTCTCAGATGAGAGGTCTGGAATATGGGAAGGGAACACCTAATACATAAATTGCAGATATGTCATGGTAAGTCAAGATAAATTGTTAAAGTTGATGTAAGTTGAATATAATGTCCAAAATGAAACAGCCAGTAAGTCGATGTGTAATGTTGGTTTCGAATTGTAAATACGAAAGGTCCACAAACTTTTAAAACAGAATGAGCATACCTCAACATCATCAAGATCATCCAATGTCTCAACGGCTATATTTGAAAGAATCACAGATGAAGCTCTGGTAAATAGGTTCTGCATTCGAGACTCGACCAAATCTGAAAACAAAAGAATATAAATTTATAAAGCTTAGGGTTTAATTAAGTACGTACAACAGCTAAAAGAAGTTAGTATAAATTTCTGATAAACCATTGCGATATTTGTTCACGGCCATATGACAACATAAGGTGAGTCATATAATTTGTGATTTGAAGGTCAAGTTTCTACAAGTTTAGGGTTATAAAAGCTTTTTATTTGACAAGAGAGACCAAGATTCATACAAGCTCTAAGGTCCAGTATTCATATGTTTTTATAAGATATCAGATACTTCATATTAGCTGAAGTACAAAACACAGTCTCCGCAATAAAAGATCGTTTCCCAGAAAAAGATAGTCAACTTACCTATATCATACACAGCATCATATTGGCCCCTGCCAATCATTGCAAGCATCCGCAGGAAATAATGGTTGCAGAATGTACCTGGAATATTTTAGATGAAAGTTAGCTAGAAGCCTAGAATGCAAGTGTAATAAAAACAATGTGTGCTTGATGATAAAATAAATGTGACTTTATGCTGGCAGAGGCAAAGTACTGTTAACTGATCTTAAATCATCAGAAAGAGGCTATAATGTCACTTGAAAATATAATACTAGCCTGGTCTCTAATGGCACAATAGCAAAAACCCTTACCTATTCCAAAAGTGTATATACGTGGAGCTATAGGACCTGCTTCTGTAAGTCGATTTTTCATTGCATCACAAATTTGCCTCTCATCTTGAACAGACCCATCAGTAACAAGGAAGATGATAGGAAATGAACCCCGAGTATTTGATAGCATCTCTATTGCCTAAAATAGAGGAGCAACAAAAGATAATAAATAACTCTCAAATGATATTATTTTAGACAATCCTTGAAGACCATATAAATAGGGGTTAAAAATTAAAAAGGTAAACCGGCAAATATAAATATCCACACAAACACTCATATCCGGATGCAGAAGGGCTAGACCATTAAAAATGGATACTCCTTAAAATTATCATTTTTTACTACTGTAATGTACCTTAATAGATAGCCATGTGCTTATGCATGAAAGAATCAGAAAGAAACATAACTGGTAAACTTAATGGCAGAATTCACAAAGAGGCAAAGAAGCTTGAGAAAATACTTGGGTAAGGGGAGGCAATATATCTGTATCACCGCCAGCAATAAGATTTATGCCAATCCACTCAATGGCCCTTTCAACAGCTTCCTTGGTAGCCGATTTCATTGATGTAGAAGATAAAAAAGTCTGTCCATTAAAAGCTATAATACAGAACGAATCTTCTGGATGAAGCTTCGAGAGGGCTGCAGATATTACATTCTTAACATCATCAAGTGGCTTTCCCTGCATACTTCCACTAATATCAACAACAAACACTACATCCCTTCTGAAAACCTGAAAGACCAATTAGGAGGGAAGATAAGAATAAATTTTTAAGAAAAATGAAAATACAGAGTAAGAAATAAAAAAATGAAATCTATTTAATATAACACCAACCTTCCTGCTCTGCTCGTTTCCTGGTAGAAGATAGACAGAGAAAATTTCTCTTTGATCAATGTCATGCATGGGCGGTGACTGCACGAGAACAGCACCATGTGTATGACTTGAAGAGACCTAGAAATGCCCAAATATGTTAGAATGACAAAGACCTTGTAGAATCTGTCCACATCTAGCTGGAAAAAAAAATGCATGCGAGCCTTACCGTGTATGAGAAATTAAAGTCGGTATTTGACCAATTGAGAACATCTGCCTCATACAGAAAACCCAATTTTCCAACTTGGCTTATTCCCCGTAATTCCTGGAAAAGTCAAGAGAAATATAAAAAGGTTGTCACCTTGCTTACAAAAATAATATGCCCTCAGAGTTATGATCAAAGCTGCACCTTCAAAGAATGACTAGCTGTCTTGCACGAAACTTCAGTTCCAACGCCAGAGTTCACGTTTAATTGGATCTTTTCCTTTTTCAGGTATTTTTTTCCTGGGGGAATGACATACTCCGGAAAAGTGAATGGTACATTCAAGGAGAAATTGCCATTTGAATACGATAATTTCTGAGACCAACTCATTTTGATTGAGATATTGGCTCCCCCATTGACCTTGAAAGAACAAGAAGAGTACATTTTAGTGAAAAGAACAAAAATTAAAATACAGGATTCTGATGATAATAAAAACCGAAAACTGTAAAAACGAAAGGCATGCCGATTCTTGGTAAGCTATTATTACCTGAGGGGTTGTCAATGTAAATATATGAGGTTTGACTCTGAGAAAGCCTCCCTCTACATGGGTCATCTTCTCCATCTCCTTGTCATCTTCCAATTGACTGAGTTGAGTATGGTACGATTTACCGTTTACGTCGACCTCAACACCTAGAATTGAACCCTGTTAGCACAAATATATAATTTGCTTAACAATAGGGATCAAAACCAACACACCTAAAAATTCAATCAATTTCAAAATTTCCACATTTCAGCAACAATATCATCATTAAATTCAAAAACCCAATAACTAGTTCAACAAATCAGAGACACCAAAAGCAATAATTTAACGGATTGAATCCAGAGAAGCAAAAAAGATTCGAACTTTATTCGAATTTACGCACCTGTTCACCCATAGGAATGGCGACGCGGCAACCGCAGCTCTTGCTACCCTTTATGCAATGGACCCTCCACGACCCAGAAACCCGAATGAAGGCGGTGTCCATGTAGCAATC